AAAGGCAGCCTCAGGATTGGAACTCAGAGCTGGTCTGAAAGGTTTCCCAACAGTCAGCTGTGTCCTCAGTCCCAACATCTGGGGAGAGCAGAGCCAGGCCACAGAGAGGGGCTGTTCCCTTTCTTGTAAGGCTGCTGACGAGGAAGCCACATGATGACACATAACACAGGCCCTAGGACTCGGCACACCCAGTGACGGTCCCTCCCAGGCTCTGTGGTCAGTGCATCACACCTGCAGCCCCAGGAGCCATGCCGGGCAGTGCCACAGCCCTGGTCCTCACTGCCCTTCTGAGTCTTGGTAAGATTTTGGGGATGGGGGGGGGATGAGATTCTTGTCCCCACATGCAGGGCCTGGTCACAGGGAGACACCAGGGCCTCAGGATTCTCATGGGGAAGCTGAGGCCTCAAAAGAGAGAAGTAATGTTCTCAGGCCCAGTTTGACCCCAACACTGAGGGGCCCAGACCCCCATGACTCTTCATTGTGGGTGGAAGGACAAACTTCTCACGGGACCTCTCTCCCAGGGCTGTTCCAGACGCAGCAGATCCTGGTCCAGCCAGGTGAGTCCTCCCCAGTCCTCCCAGCACTGACCTCTGGGCAGTTCGGGGAGGATGGAGGGCCTGGGCGGGTGGTAACCATGTTGGGAGGGTCTTAGGGGTGAAGGCTGAGGAAACTGAGGGGAAGGGAACCCCCTGGGACTCCAACTCTGATTTCTTTCCAGGAACCCTCCCCAAACCCTCCATCTGGGCTGACCCAGACCCCATGGTCACCAGGGGGAGTCCTGTGACCATCCGGTGTCAGGGGTCTCTGCAGGGTGATAGATACCATCTATTGAGAGATGGATATTATTTCCGGGATATGACCCTACTGCACTCCAGGGAGAAAGGGGGCTCCTTCACCATCCAGTCCATGGACAGTGACCATGCAGGGCAGTACCAGTGTCGTTATCACAGCTCCAATGACTGGTCCCAGCTCAATGAGCCCCTGGTCCTCATCATGACAGGTAAGAGGAAGGGATCAGAGCACCCCCTCTACTCTGAGCTCCTCCTACAGCTAGAAGAGAATGAAATGTGCCCTAAGGGGAGGGACTCATACCTCACAGACCGCCCCCTGGGTCATGTGGGGTGACTGTGTCCCCCTTTAACTCAGCTCCCTCCTCTCTCTCAGGAGCGTACTCTCCACCCTCACTCTCAGCCCAGCCAGGCCCTGTGATGGCTTCAGGAGGGAACTTGACCTTCATCTGTAGCTCAGACTACTCCATCCGCACTTTCCATCTGCTGAAGGAGGGACGAGTCCCCATGGTCCAACACATGGACTCTCAGTACTCCATGGGGAGGCATCTGGCCCCTTTTCTTGTAGACCCCGTGATCCCCTCCCGTGGGGGCACCTACACGTGCTATGGTGCTTCCAGCTCCAACCCCCATGTGTGGTCACAGGCCAGCAACCAGGTGCATCTCCTGGTCACAGGTGAGGGAGCCCCTGCCTGGCCCCACAGCTTCACAGCATCAATGACTGACCTAAGCCATGTGCCCAGGGGAGCCCTGCGGGTGGTGGGGAGGTTGGGGATGGTGCCCTCCTGGGGCAGAATCACAGAGGGGAGTGGGACAGACCATGTGGCCTCACTGCAGCCCCACACCCCGGCTCCCCGGTGCTGTTTGGAGCCAGCCTGACCCTGCAGTGTGGCTCAGAGGCCGGATTTGACAGGTTTGCTCTGACCAAAAATGAGCAGCGCCCAGGTCCCAGAAACCTTGACGCTCAGCACAGTCCCAACTTCACCCTGAGCCCTGTGAACAACACCCATGGGGGCCAGTATAGGTGTTACAGTGGATACAGTCTCTCCTACAAGTGGTCAGCCCCCAGTGACCCCCTGGACATCGTGGTGACAGGTTGGAGTCCCTGCCCAGCCTTACATCTCTGCATGGTGTCCTCTGTGTGGATCTAGGGTTTCCCCTGGTGGAGATGGGGTCAGGGACATAGGGTACCCCAGCAGAGCTGAGATGGTGGTTTTGTCCGAGGAAGAGGGAGTGAGAAAGGGAGAGTGGGTGACATGGGGTAAGAGAGGCCCCACAGAGAAACAGAGG